TGCACTGTCATTTTCTTAATAAATCCTCAGCTTATGTGTCTTTAAAAGATTCATCCCAGAACATTCTTATTTTATATTCAGCAGTGTACAGAAGTATTCCTAAGTATCTTATTGCCCCTATTGCTAATATGAAGGCAAGTTTCTTCCAGTGCACTTTTTTTTTTTTTTAAGATTTATTTGTACATACAGAACTGGGGTATAGGCTAGAGGCTCAGGGGCGGTGAGAGGCTTCACCAGAGACAGAGTGGGGAGCAGAACAGGCAGATCAGTGAAGTACACTGCTGAGGGGAGCAGCGGGCGGGTCAGGAGAGGTCTGCTGCGCCATGTGGTCACCTTCGGGGCAGGCGGGAATCGAATTCATGCGGAAGTGGCTTTAGCTTCTCAGTGCAGTGCTTTAACCCACTGCGCCACCGGGGAGGGCCTTTTCTAGTGCACTTTTTTAAAATTTATTTTTATTTATCTATGCAAACAGGAACTCTGATGTAGACCAGAGATGGGAGAAGTGAGAGGACTCACCAGAGACAGGGTGAGGAATAGAACAGCTTGATAGTTCTGACTTGCTTAAATACACTGAAAGGACAGGATAGGTGTACTGAGCCATGTGGGTCAGCTCCCTGGCCAGGCATCAATCATGCTATAGTGGCTGGTAATAGCTCGACTCCATCAAGACACTTTAATCCCTGTATCACCAGAGAGGCATCTCTAATGCATTTTTTTTTATTGGTATATATCATACTGTGTATTTGAAAGACTCCTTCAAATTCCTGTTAAAGTCCTAATCTCTAGTCTGGCTATATATAAAGATGTGGCATCCAGCCCTTTCCTGGTGGCCCAATGAGTTAAAGCACAGAACTATCAAGCTGTCCTCAACCACTGCAGCATGAATTCAATCCCCAGCTAGGGAGGTAACCCACATGGCACAGAACTCCACTGTCTCACCTACTGCTCCCTCAGCAATGTATCTCTGTAGATATGCCTGTTGTGCTCCCCATTCTGTCTCTGGTGAATCCTCTTACTACCCACACCTCTGCCCTGTACCCCAGTTATGTATCCATAAATCAGTCTTTTTTTAAAAATAGGCATCTTTTTGCAGCAACATGGATGGAATTGAATAATGCTTAGTGAAATAAGCCAGAAAGAAAAAGGAAAAATACCAGATGGTTTCACTCATAGCAAGAGTATAAAGGACCAGGAGAGAAAATAATAATAATGAACAACTATATACCAGAGACATTTTACTGGGGTGGAGTGGGGAATGGGGTCAAAAATGGGGGTGTGGGCGGAAAGGCACTGGACTATGGTGATGGCACACGGGTGATTTGGTGATGGGAAGCCCACAGGGATTACAACTGAGATGGAAAAAGGCACAATATGATGTAAAAATAAACTATTACATTATAAAAAAAACACAAATTGGCATCTAAGAAAATTAGGGTAACTGAGGTCAGAAGCCTGGGGTCCTTGTGAGGTGTCACTCTCCCTCCTGAAATAGCTGGGTTTGCACATGCTGTTTTCCTGGTTTCTTCTATGTCACATATTTTTGGTTCCTACAGTCCTTTACTGCCTCTTTCAGCAATGGGTACTTTCTATTTTTTTCTTTAAGATTTATTTATTTATGCATACAAGAACTGGGGTACAGGCCAGAGGTGCAGGGACAATGAGAGGATTCACCAGGGACAGAGTGGGGGGAACAGGCAAATTGATGACTTACACTGCTGAGGGGAGCAGCAGGTAAGACGAGAGGTCACGAGAGGTCTGTTGTGCCACGTGGGTTACCCCCCAACCCCCCCCCCACCCCTGTGGTGATCAAAATCAGCTGTGCCTGGCTTAGTAGTCTGTGTTTTAACCGATTGCATCACCAGTGAGGTCCCTGCAATGAGTACTTTGGTTTTCATAATTTTGTCACCGTTTTAAAACTTGAAATGTAACTGAAATTTGAATCGTGCATGTCAAACTCATAAATGTATACATTAAAACAACTGCCATTATAGCAATAATTAGCACCTTTATCATGTTCCATAATTAACATAACCAAGTTCTGGCCTCTGAGAGAACTGATCATTGTAATAGCACATGATTATCTGGTAAGAATCCCCCCAGGGCACACTTAAGACTAGTTGGGAGATGAACTGTTACTTCCTCAGTGGTGCTCCAGAGCTTATCACACTTCTGTTAAGACCCCAACCCAATAGGACAAAAGCCACTCATACATGTAATACTACTGTTACAAGCCCAAGAGTACATTGTTACAATGAGAGAAGAACTGGGAGGAAGCATGCTTTTATTAATTTTATATCAACCTATTTCTCACTTTTGGTTCTCTCTTCCTGTGGCTCCAAGCCACCATCAGTGGTCATCTCCTAAACCTAGTAGAGGTTTGCTCCCACGCTGCGTCTTCATTGTATTATTGGCAAGTGTGTTCCATTTCTGCATGTCATAAACCAAACATTGTATTGTTTTATACAATTGGTCTTTAAATCATTTAAGAAATGAAATCATGTATTTATATGTCATTATCACATAATTACTGGTAACTCTTTCCTTCCCATAAAAATCAAGGAACCTCTTGGGGTTACTCCTCTGTATAAAGAACCCCATGGTTCTTCCAATTTCCTTCAGAGCATTGTCTGTTAGCAAGAAATTCTCACTTTTTATGTGGGAACATTTTTATTTCCTCCTCTTAAAACAAAGACAGCTTTGGCCCTCTCTGGTGGCACAGTGGGTTAAAGCACTGTACTAAGAATCAAAAGCTATTTCGCATGAGTTTGATCCCCGCATGCCCTGGAGGAGATCCACATGGTGTGGCAGACCTCTCCTGCTGCTCCCCTCAGCAGTGTACTTTGTCGATCTGCCTGTTCTGCTCTCCACTCTGTCTCTGGTGAAGCCTCTCACCCTCTGCATCTCTGGCCTGTACCCCAGTTTTGTATGAATAAATAAATAAATCTTAAAAAAAAAAAAAAAGACAGCTTTGCCACTGCCTGTTGGGCTACTGTTTCTGATGAGCTCAGCTGCTAATGTGGAAATTGCATAGGCGATTTCTTTTGTTTTGTTGTCCTCAAAATTTTCTCCTGGTCTTTGCATTTTTAATGTGATGCATTTGTCAGTGGATCTCTTTGGAGTTCACTGAGCTTCTTCAATATGTAGACTGAAGCTTTTTATTAAATTTGGTAAGTTTTAGCCATTGTGAAAACTTTTCCTACTTCTTGTCCTCCCACTTGTATTTCCATACTTCCCCTTAAGTTTTACAATGAAATCGTGAGCACAGTTACCCGCCTCCCACCCAGTGTGGTCTGCAAACTGAGAATCTGTGGACATTCATAGGCATGTGATAGGCTTAGAGGGCTCTGCACTGAGGTTAGTGCAGACCCAGAGGGTCTTGCTGTACAAGCCAAGCGTGCAGTGATTTACCGGTGAAATATCTACATGAGATTTCAAGAGTTGGTCTTGCATGGCCGCACCACTGTGGTCTACCATGCCACAGCAGCATTAGTGGATCATGACATGGTCAGAGGCAGTATCCTATAGCTACCCAGAGATCTGTTCTTAGAATCACTTGGACTATGAGTCCAGCACCCTGACAATGGTCTGAAGTTAATCAGGGAACATTGATTTGTAGTAAATGGGGCCATGACTTTCAGTTCCTGTTATATCAGACTTTTGGTTTTAAATACATCTGAAACTTTTATTGGGTTTAATTCATTCTAAAAGAACTTGCACCTATAAATTAACTGGAAACCTGATTACCAAATCAACCCTAGATCCATAGTAAGTTAACCAAACCAACCTAGCCTAATTAAAGGCCAGTTATGAGAGAAAAGCATTCTGTGAGAGAAAACATCCAAGTGATGTATTTGAAGTACAGTGGCTCTGCCTGCATTTCTAGTCTAGGAAGAAAAGCTGCTAATTTCCATAACATTTCTCTGTGTGGAAGGGGATTTAGTCTTGGCAACACTCCAAAGATCCAGGTTGGCAAATGTCACAAAGCATTCATGGCCTTCCTTCTGTATGTGGCATCTTCTGACTCCTGTCTTTCTATGTCACGGGTCAGTGTTCTCTAGTCCTGTGTTAGCCAGAGCAGCTAACTTTTAAAACAGTAGCTGCTTCTGTTGCAAGCAAATTAAGGAGATCATATTTGTCTGAACACCCTTAAAAGTCATCTTTTCAAGTTAATTATCCAGAAATTTTTGTATCTTACTAATCCTGAGTGTTTTCACGATTTCTCTATTGTCATAAATCAGTGATTCTACCTCTGAGGATTTTTAGGACAGACGACAGTTAGCAGGTTGGAAACAATGAGGCAGGGAGGATAGTGGCAGAATTGTCCTCCTCCAGGTCTGGCCCACTTGGGAAGAGGCTCTCCACCAGGAGTTGGGAGGTCTTGTGATCACCACTATAGTGCAAAAGCAACTAGAGAGCACAGAAACCAGTACAGCTGTCTGGGTTCCAATGAAACACTAGTATGAACATTGAAATTCAACTAAAGATGTGAGGCAATACAGCAGGGGCGGGGAGGGAGATTAAAATGGGAGGAAAAAGCATAAGTGACTATGGAGATGGTTCACAGGTGATGTGGTGGTGGGAGAATTATAAGAACTAGACCAGAGGGGAGGAATAAAATATTGTACACAATGGACAATGATTTAAGAATATAAAATTTTCTTTAAAAATAGGAAAAAAAGTTTTTAGGACCCTCCCTGGTGGCACAACAGGTTAGGATGCAGCACTGCAAGCTAGCCACTTCAGAGCATATTTGATCCTTTGCCCCAGAGGTGACCCACATGGCGCAGCAGACCTCTCGTATCTCGCCCACTGCTCCCTTCAGCATTGTATTTTGTCAGTCTGTCTGTTCTGCTCCCCCACTCTGTCTCTGGTGAATCCTCTCACCGCCCCTGTACCTCTGGCCTGTACCCCAGTTCTGCATGCATAAATAAATAAATCTTTAAAAGAAAATAAACGATTTTTATTTTATTAATCCCAATTAAACAGTTTTGGCCATTTTCAACTGCTTAAAAATGTAAAAACTTAGCTTATAAGATTTATAAATATAGGCCACAGGCTGCCCTGGGTGGTGGTCTATAGTTGGCTGATATGCAGAGTGAAGACTACAACAGGCAAAGTCCTTCTAAACTTGCTAGGTTTATTGTTGTCTCAGACAGCCTTGTTTGAATTACAAAGCAACAGCTTTTTCCAATTCAAGGCGTGTTCATATAACTGATAACTGAGTATGTGCAGTAGATGACTTTTAAATTCACAAGTCGGATATATTGTTTGAGACCCACTATCTCAACCCTACTAGAAGTAAGTTATTTCTGCATTGTTAAGATCGCCTGGAAGTTTAATACTCTGCTTTGAAATGAGATTTCAGGGCTTCAAGTCTGTCCTCAAAGCCAAAAGGATCAGAAGTTAACGGCTTTGTTTTATGTGTCATGTTCCTCATAAATTTAAAATTGTTATGGCAACACTGTGTCAGCATTCCCAGAATCTTATTAGGGGACACAAAGCTCAGGTAAACAAAAGCTGTTTTGTACTATGGACTGAAAAATTCCCATGATGCTATATGAAAAAGTTCTTCACCTCTCAGACCCTACTTTCTGTTGCCTCCACACTTCTTGAATCAATTTATCAATTAAATCCCTCTTGTTATAAGAAATAGAAACTTCTCCTTAACTTTAGCAGAAAAATAGAGGAAGCACATAGAAGGCCAGAAAACCAGGCTCACAAAGCAGCAATGCACAGCATCTCAGGAACCCACAGCAGGAACTGGTGGTCTCAGCACAATCCCAGGCAAGTGTCAGGGAGTTACCACACTTCCCTTAATTAATGTGAGACTGAGTTATAGGCTCAAGAGCCTTGAAAAAATGTCACCCCGAGTGGGTATGATACTCACCTGTGTCTGTGGAAAGAACACCCTAAATGACCCAGGACACACATGCCAGGAGCCAGCAGAGAGCAGGCAGTCTCACCTCTCAGCAAGGACCATAACTGCTACACAGACCCTTGAGGAGCAGGTCTGTAATAAATGCCAGTGTAAGCAAGGAAAAGAATGAGAACCACATGCTTTCATTTACTAAAAGCCATGTTATTTCACTAATATTGCTAGGAAATAGAGGGTCAATATGCTATGTAACATGGAGAATACCAGGGAATGTTACTCCACAAACTATAAAATGAATATATAGCAAGTCATAATAAAAATAAAATGCCAAATTTAAAAAAATGCTATTAAGTGTTCCTTAGGAAAGTCATTACCAAATAACCCTCAGGATGTGTTCCATTACACTTATTTACATGTGGACAGAAATGTCAACACTCCATGAAAAGTCTACTATTCACAACTGCTATTTTTTTCAGTCTGGAACAGTTTCAAATCTGGAATGTGACTCTCCGCAGAACATATTTTGCTATGGGCTTAGTAAAAGGATATGTATATAGTTTCCAGAATAAAGTCACTGAATTGAACCTTCATAATGACACTATTTGATAGGTTCTGTCCTCAGTTATTCCAATATTTTCTGTCTATAGACTTGTCTGACTTTTCTGAGAGCTCATGTGCCCGCTACAAATGACTGGTCTGTCTCTTATGAACCGTGTTTGTTGTCATCACAAAGAAATCTCCTGAGGATCACCCAGCATCTGTGAGATTGTAATCAGGATTTCTCACTTGTGAGTTTTACGATGTATACGAAGCCCTGAATTCCAACAGAAGGATTTCCCACATTCAGAACACTTCCATGGCTTTTCTCCTGTATGAACTCTCTGATGTTCACTAAGAGACGACTTCTGAGTAAAGGCCTTTCCACACTCATTGCATTTAAAAGGCTTCTCTCCTGAGTGAGTTTTCTGGTGTATCTGAAGTGACGCCTTTCGGGGATAGGCCTTCTCACACTCGGGGCACTCAAAGGGCTTCTCTGTTGAATGAGTTCTTTGATGTATGATGAGCTGAGATTTTCCACAAAAGGCTCTCTCACAAAAACTACATTCATAAGGTCTCTCTCCTGTGTGTGTTCTTCTGTGTATGACGAGGTAAGATTTGCTGCTGAAGGCCTTTCCACACTCACTACACCCATAGGGTTTCTCTCCTGCATGAGCCCTGAGGTGTGCAGTGAGCTGTTCCTTCCTGCCGAAGGCTTTCCCACATTCGCTACATTGATAAGGGTTATTTCCTGTATGAACTCCCTGATGTACAACAAGCTGTGTCTTCATATTGAAGGCTTTTCCACAGTCACTGCACTGATAGGGTTTCTCTCCTGTGTGCATTCGGATATGAACGAGGAGGTATGATTTACTCCGAAAGGCCTTGCCGCATTCATTGCACTTATGGGGTTTTACTCCAGAATGAGTCCTCTGGTGTACCACGAATGGTGACTTCAAACTAAATGCTTTCCCACATTCGCTACATTCATATGGTTTTACTCCTGTGTGACTTCTCTGGTGTAAAATAAGTTGTGATTTCCAGCTGTAAGCTTTCCCACATTCACTGCAACCGTAAGGTTTCCCTCCTGTGTGAACTTCCTGATGGACAATGAGCTGTGACCTGAAAGAGAAGACCTTCCCACACTCACTACATGAGTAAGGCTTTTCTCCTGTGTGAACTCTCTGGTGAGCATTGAGGTTAGACTTGGCACTGAAGGCCCGCTCGCATTTAGCACATTCATATGGTCTCTCTCCTGTATGAATTCTGAGATGCACAATAAGCTGTGATTTACAGCGAAAAGCTTTCCCACATTCACTACACACACAGTTTTTTCCTATACTATAAACTCTTTGATGTTTTAGAAAATAAGGTTCTTCATATCCATGAAACTTATCAGGATGCTTTCTTAAATAGTTTCTGATTGAACCAGAGTTTTGTGTCAAACCTTTCCCATGTCTGTTATATTTCCGCAACCTTTGTCTTGAAGAAGCATAGGTTTTGCTCAGATGAAGTCTTCCAAATACATTACAAGTATAGCTTGAAATGCTCCCAAGTTCATCTGGATTTTTCTGGTGCCATTCTCCCCAGTCTTCTAGAAACAAACATACATACATTTTTAAAAGCCAGAGGACAAATCTTATTTGGCATTAAGTTTTAGGACTGCCATGCAGTGAGTATGTGACACTGGCTCAAAAGAAATGCTGCCAGGTGCACACACTATGTGCTGAAGCAGGGGCAGGAGGGGCTGACCCCAAAATAGCAGGTCCCACTAGGTAAATGGTAGTGAGTTAGTAGTCATCAGAACAGGCTTTTAAGAGAGGTCTAAGCAAAGGGTAAAAAATGGAGTTTCTCAACCCTCCCTGGTGGCACAACGGGTTAAAGAGCAGCTCAAACTAAGCCCAGCAGCAACCACTAAAGTGCACATAGCCAAGAACTCCAGCTGTCCAAGAGCGAAGGACATTTATATATTCCGGGTGACAGTCCAGAGACAGGAGCTATGAAGAGGTTTTTAAATTACTGACAGGAGTAGAAGCACTAGGGAGATTAGCAAAGGAGGTGGTGGGCATATCCTGGGTGAGAATGGGACACAGGGCCAACCATGCAAAAGCACCAGTAACAATAGGAAGTAATTCTGCAGAAGTGTCTTCTGGTTTCCGACACTAAGAGTAAAGAGCGGGAAAGCAACTGTGCTCCCTGGTGGCACACGGGCTCTGGCACCAGGGAAGGTACACAGGAGAGCAGGGACGTCAGTTCAGGTATTACAACTCAGGGAGGCCCCAACAGGGAGGAGCCAGGAAAGTTTAACATGACGAAATCACATAACAATACAGTGAGACCAGGTTAAGTCTATTAGTTCTTTTAGAAGTGCCTGAAGTAGAAAAGAGTTGTAATTGCACAGGGATCACTGTAAGAAGAGAGGAGGCCAAGGAAGCCCCTACAATGGTCTGAGCAAGGGAGGCACAGGAAGGACATGGTAAAGTGGAAGGCAAACTGGCTCAGGTAGGGCAGGACACAGGTAGACGGAGAGCTGGCTGGCAGAGGGCAGGCCAGAAAAGAAGGGGAGCAGAGGCAAGCAGCTGCCCGTATCCTCAGCCCAAGGGCCCTGGTCTCTGAGACAGTCCATGCACATCCCGCACAGCCCCACAGTTCACCACTCACCACCCGCACAGCTCAGGGTGCATGGCTCCTCTCCTTGCTCCAGCTTGAAGACTAACTCAGGCTTGGTCCCACGATACCCTGTGGAGGGGAAAGCACAAGGTGTGGCCCCTGCTTGATAAGCAGAGTCCTGCACCCTGAAAATCAGACCTCCAGGGCAGCCCTGGGCCTGTAGTGCAGTACATACCCACAGCCAGCAGGTTGTGGTAGTTTTCCAGGGTCACATCCTTGTATAGGTGCTTCTGCGCAGAATCCAAGAGCTGCCACTCTTCCTGGGCAAACTCCATGGAGACGTCCTTGAATGACAGCAGCCCCTGCAAAGACACAGGCCACAATCCTGCGGCACCAAAATGAGGCGGCGCTGGCTCAAGGCAGATGCTCCCCCCAGAAAGCTGTGGGCAGCCTTAGAAGGCACCAGAAGAGAAGGCACGGACAGCAGGGTGCTGGGGAGGATCCTGGCCAAACAAGCTGCCCTTGACCTTGGGGGTGGCAGGAGGGAGGGTGTCAGAGACGGGACAATAGCTGGAGGCTGCAGGTAGGAGCCCCCTGAAGGGCCTCAAGAGAAGAGTACCCTCCCTGGTGGCAGAACAGGTTAAAGCACAACACTGCAAAACTGGCCTTGGCCACTTCCAAGCCATTTTGATCCCTGGATCAGGAAGTAACCTACATAGTGCAGCAGACCTCTCCTGTCTCCCCACTGATCAACTCAGCAGAGTATCTCAGCAGATCTGCCTGTTCTACTCCCCACTCTGTCTCTAGGAAGTCCTCTCACCAGTGCACCTCTGGTCTACACCCTATTGTATGCATAAATAAAATTTTAAAAAGAAAACATAGACACCTTCAATCTGTGTGTTTCCACTGAAAATACCCACCTACGGTATCCACTCAATAACAGTCCCTGCAGATTCAACAATAAGTAAATAAAGCCAGTCCTTCCCTGGAGACCTCCTCCCAGAAGGACTCCCAGACGGCAAACGTCACAATCAGGTCAGAAGTTCCACGATCTTGGTCACCCCCACTGATCACTCACAGTGCGGGTAATCCACTGTTCTCCTCTTACTCTCCCCACTCCAATGTTCACGCGATCACCCTCCCACACTCTTCGAAACCAAGAAGGGCTCGCCAATGCCCCTGCACTGCGCACCCGGGCCGGCGCACAAGACACTGTCGGTGTTTAAACAAGTGAACACAGAGTAACTAAAGGCCTGGAGCTGAAGACACAACTCCGGATAGAGGAAAAAGCCCGAAATCGACAGAGCTCGGCCCCAAATCGGCGCCCACGGCTGGCAGCGCGGGTGACAGGGAGGGAAGGACGCCCGACCTGGCCGCCTGAACATCTCCGGAGACCCGGGCAGTGCCTGGTCGGCCTCGTCCAGCGTGGAAGTCGCCACGTACCCAACACGAAGCTGTCCGGATGCTTGTGGCCATGACGCGCCGCTTCGTGCGGGTCCGCGGGCTGAACGCACAAAACCAAACCGGAACACCGTCCTGAGGCGCCCGCCCCCCCAGCGGGGTCCGCTGGCCGCGCCCCCGAGACCAGGCAGAGCAAGTCGGGCGAACCCGTTCACGCCCCGCCCCGGCCGCAGGGCTCAACGGGCCAAGACCCAGATCCGCGCAAGGTGCCCGGGGCCGCGCGGGCTCCGCACCGCCGCCGCCGCCAGAAACAGCGCCGGCCCTAGCCGCCCCAGCCCACAGAGGCCGAGCCAGAAGCGGTCGTGCAGGCGCGCGCCCAGCCACCGCGCACGCGGAAGTGCGTCACGGACCGATTTACCGGCCCGAACAGCGCCGAAAGAGAACTACCCCTCCCAGGGGCCTGCGCGAGTCGCAAATTGCTGGCCGTCTCCAGCCGCCCCGGCCCAGGCCCCACTGCTCCCGCATCGCAGCACGCACCCACCCTCGGTGAGGGAGGAGATCGGCTCGTAACTCCTTTGACTTCAGACCCAAAGTGGAAAAAACAACTATCTCCCGGAGCGCGGTCTAGCCGCTCACAAACGTCTCTAGAGCTGGAGAGGCCCTCCGCAGCGCCCTCCGGGAGTTGTAGTTCTGGAGCGTGCGGAACTCTTGGAAATGTAGTTCGGTGCGGGCGCGTCCGCGGCGGCGTGGCGGTCCTGGCGCTGCGAGCCTGGGGGGAGGGGGGCGGGACCTGGCGGCCTCTTCTCAGCCGGCCCGGCCACCACGAGACGCCCACTGACCGCTCCGGGTGCGAAAGGCTCTGCGCGCGCTCTCAGATCCCGGACGGTGGAGGAGGTGCGGAGGGGGGGGGGCGGGGTGAGCGGCGGGATCTTGGGGTCTCTTCCCAGCCTGAGGGCGTTGGCGGGGTCGCGGCGTCTAGGGGGACTGCGAGTTGCTGGGAAGTCTGCTATTGGGGGAGGTCGCGACTGGGGAGTTGGGATTGGGGAGCGTTGGCGGGCGGGGGTGGATTCTCTGTGCTGGGTTCTGGGGTCCCGGGACCGCTTTCTGCGGCGGGCAGAGGGCGTTTCGGGAGTGGTGGGCTCCGGAGGCCCTAGGCCGAGAAGTCTTCGGGCTGGGCTGGGCGGGGAGTGCAGGGCGAGACTAGAGCACGGGCGGCGTCTAGAATGCTGAGAGGGCCAGGGTCGGCGTTGGGCGCCGCTCCGATTGCCAGCCGTGGTGGCGTAGGGTGTTGTCTGAACCCAGACTCTTGGGAAACGGGGAGTCAGGGGTCGCTTTTGCTCGCTGACCTAGGAGGCCCTCTGCAACCCCTTCCCCGAGTGGCGGGTGCAGCTGATGAGGCGCTCACTGGCGGGACTAGTTCCTCGACTCCTGCCTCTGCCCGGGCTGCAGGTCGTTCTCAGGGTTTTGGCCTCATGCCATTTCATTCCCATCCTCACCCCCGACCATTCGAATCTGTTTGCCCCCCCAACTTTTTTGTTTGTTTGTTTGTGAAGATACCGGTTAGGAGCACAGCTTTTTCCTTTTTGCAAGCCCGAGCCCCGAAGTAATTCTTTGTAATAAAGGATTTCCTCATCGAGTCTGCATTGGTTCTTCGCTGGGCAGTTTTCCATGAGGGACAGCTGGTCGCCCTGCAGTGAGCCCTGGGCCTGTCTCTGGGGAGCTCAGGAGCGAGCCCCCCGTGGGCGCTGTACAATAGTGGCTGTGGTCTGTGGGTTTGAGTGGACAAGGGGTGTTGTGGTCCAGTTTTGCCAGCGGGTGTGTCCAGCCCTTGCAGCCCTTGCGGTCCTTGAAGGTGAGGATGGGAAAGACCTTCAGGTGTCAGCCATGGTGTTGAACCTTGGGTGGGGTGTCTTAGAGGTGCAGGGTTGGAAGTCTGGGAGTTTAAGTGATGAGACCAGCCATGATGATAGGGCAAGGCAGTGAGGGGGCACCCGCTCAGGTGAGCCCCAGGGAAGGGGAATTGGAGTTCTGAGGAGCCCCATGGGATTCTGAGGGTGTCAGTTTCTAGCCAATTAATAGGTGCTGTGAAGATTATTGAAGGGATGCTTGTGAGAACCCATGACTGGGTGTTCAGGCCTCAGCCTCAAGAAGCCCAAGGGTATGTGAGGAGGGTGGAGGCTAGTGTCCCTGTCCCTATCACTTAGAAACTGAGAGCAGGCCCCAGGGCACAGGAGCATCTCTTCCTCTGCCTGTCCTGGCTGTGGGAAGATGGATTTATTGTCCATGAACCCCTGTGGAATGGTCTGCCCCTTGGGGCTATGTGGGATTTGGCTAGATGATCTCCAAGGAACTACAGCTCTGGGAGCTGAGCGTCCTGGAGGCAGCAGTGGAATCAGCCCTTGGAGTCTGGGAGGAGACAGTTATGAGGTTCAATGGCCTGCAGATTGTGAGGAGCCATGTGTCCTGTGCTCTGGGCTGGAACACGCTCAGATGGTAGTGTGGGTGACTAGGAGCTTTGTAGGGCAAGGGTGGGTGTGGTGGGTTTCAGCCCTCAGGGCCTGTGCAATCTGCCAGGGAGGCCAGCTTGGAGTTGGTGGCAGAAGGCTGCAGGCTGGGATAGGTCCCGTATTAGCTCAGAAGATTCATCCCCTCCCTACTGTTCTTTGTGGGTTAGTGAGGCACCTGTCCCGGGAGCCCTCTGTGGTCAGCCCCTTTTACCCCCCATCTTCTCCAATGGTCAGCCGCTATGGACCAGAGGTTTCTCCTGCTTGAAAGCACATCCCTGCTGCCTCCCATGCAGGTTCAGAGATGTTTGTGCTCACTCGTTAATCTGCTCCCCACGGTGGAGGCCACCTGTCTGGGCAGCTGCCTCCTATGTGCCATGACAAGTCTAACCAAAGTGGCCTCAGTAGCCGCTGCTCCCCTAACCAGCCAGCAAGACCAAATGAGCCTGTGAGCGATCCTGAATCTCAGGGTGTGAGTGTGCACACATGAGCACGTGTGACAGGGCTGAGCGTACAGCGCTGGCCAGCATACCATGGTATACTCTCTAGGCTCCTGCACACAACCCTAGGGGTTGGGGGTCTGTGCCTCAACCTGAATGTCCAAACTGGTGGGAGCTCCCAATGCAGGTGGACCTTGACCTCTGGGACCCCAGACCCAGACATCAGTAACTGGGTCTCTTCTTGGCCTCAGGACCACTTTCAAAGCTACCTCCCAGCTGGGCTGGCCCCTCATTGCCTGGGAGCATGAGGATGAGGCCCCTGCCCTGGTTCCTAGAGATCTGCCCTCAGGCCTCCCTTTTCACTCAGGCCCAGACCAATGCTAATGTGGATGTCCTGCCCAGGTGACCCGGGTTGTTCTCCCACTCTGCTGCCACAGGTTCTTTCTGCCCAGCACTGTTTGGAGGACACTCACAGTTCAGTTTGTCCTTCAAGACTGACTGGTTCTTAAAGGCCTCCTAAGACTCCTGTGGCCTCACAGACCCTAGGCACTGTCTCTGGCCTTAGGGCCCTAGGGTGATGCCAGGAACTAACCTCTGCACTGCAGCTGGCTGGTCTGGTCACACTCTTGTGTGGTGAGTCGGGAAGAGCAGAACCACCCACTCTGTTTCTAGCACAACTCATCATGGGCAACAACTTCAAGAGCCAACATCCCAGCCCCACCCTGGAGCAAAACCTGCCTCTGGGCATCTGTGCTGTGCCGACAGCCTCTGGGCAGCACAAACCTGCAAAATGCCTGTTGGATCTGGGTGTGGTGCACCCTAGCCTCACACAATTCTCTGGCAAATCACCCGCTGAAATGCTTACAGCATCTGGGCTTTCTCACGCCAATCAGCCCTGGCCATTGGGCATTGTGTGGCCAGCTGAGCCCTCAGGGGCCCTCCCCAGCTGCCCAGACCACTGTGAAGACTGCAGGCAGCAGGCATGGTTGGGGGCAGCACCATGGCCCAGACCTGCTTTCTGTCCCACCTGCCCACATCCACGAATGCTGCCTTCTGTGTCCGCCCCTGTGGTCCCTCACCATGGGCCTCCCTGTGTCCGTCATTGGCCACCAGCAGGGCCTGGTCCAGGGCAGCGGAGATGCTGTGTATGCAGGTGATGGCACCAGGACAGGAACATATGGATTGATCATGCTGCCTTAAATTTGGGCAGCAACAGTGGTTGTACACTGTTGTCTCATGTAGTTTGCTGGAGAAATAATTAAAGCCAAAATTGGCCAGCCCAGAAAAACTCTGCCCAAAGTGGAAGAGAAAGTCTTACTGCTAAGTAAGTAAAAACTAGGGTAGGCTGTGGTGGCACCTTCTGGGCACACTGAAGGCAAAGTGGGTCCCCCCCAGAGGCAGTGCCTAGGGGGCCCCTCCCTCGGCCTCCTCCTGGGGATGCAGAGCCCACAGGTCCTGTAAAGGGTGGGTACCCCAGGGAGAGTGCAGGGCTAAAGGACCACACCTCTTTAGGGCCTGGCAAGACTGTAGTCACTGGTGTCTGGGATCTGTTCACTGAGTCCTCCCAGAGGTTCCTCCCCTTTCCCACAGGTCCCCACATACCCATGGCTCTCAGGGACCAGAAGACTCAAGTGAGATAGGAAGGAAGAGGCCTTGGGACTGGGTGTGGCCTGCCTCTCCAGACTGCTGTCTCCAAGAGCAGGGAAGATGCTGGGGGCACAGGTGAGTCCTTCTCCCCACCTTTTCTCTAATAGCTGTCACAGGCTAGGCCAAGCTAGGCAGCTGAAGGGAAGTGTGAATGCACTTCACTCACAGAAGTCAACAGGGGAGGCATCAGAGACACTGAATTCCGGAATGGATGCTGTTTTCAAGGGGGAACATGGACATGTGAGCAGTAAGGCCCTCACGCTGGACATGAGTTGCAGGCTTGCCCCAGAGGTCACAGCTGTGGTTCTGGTCAGTCGGTGAGCAGGCTGACCAGTCACTTAGAGAGAACATTGCTATTACCATGTGAGGATGGTGGAGCTGCTCGTGGGAAGACATAGGGACAAAGTCCCACTGAGCCATCTGGTGGTAAATGGGTCTCATAATGAGTGACCCAGAGCTCCTATGTGAGCTGGGGGTGATGCAGGAGCACTGCACCTGGAATGCTCCAGGCCAGGGGAGCACTGGCTTTCTCCATCTGTCCAGCTTTTCAATGTCCTTCATCAGGGTTGGCTCTCAGCAACAGGCCTGCTGTGACTGCCTTTGTCACCTTCCAGATGCTTCTTTTTTTTTTTTTTTT